TTCCTGCAGAAAATCCTGCACACCAATTCAGCTCTTGAACAGGTGAGTGTCAAAGAATTAAGGCAAATACTTCTGTGTGGATAAGAGCAAATAAATGTTTCACAAAGTTGTTAAGTTGGAGAGAGCCTGGGTTCCAGTGGGGTGTTTGAGGAGTTGTCTTGTCAGGGTTTGGAGTGGGATGGTCATTGTGTTGCTTGAAAAGCAGGCAAGGGAGACAAGTTAAAAACTGCCAACACACCCACAAAGTGGCAGAGCAAACACTTATAAAGTGGTAACATATCTGGATTCAACAAACATACAACTATATTAACTTGTATTTTATGAGTCATTAACATTATTGCAAATATTTCCATTATTTCTGAGGGAATCTTTCTATTTTCCATCTGGTTTTAAATACAAAAATTCAATTTTAAATTATCTAGTCCTGCCATATATTGACACTGTAGTACTGAACAGCTTGGAGAGATGTATTGCTAAGTTTTCTAGGAACACTCAACAGTAATGTTACATTCAATTTCCTGATCACTGATTGTTAAAAACTTTATAGTAGTATTTATAATCATGTTTTTAAATACTTCTATCACAATCTCCAAGAAATTTAGTAAAGGCTTTTTCAAGAAACTAAAAGTGCTGAAAGAATACTTTTTTTACATATATGAAAGAATGTGCATTGTATTGTACCAGAAAAACCCCTCTTTTCTAATAATTTCAGAAATTCTTTTTTCTTCAGGATTTGTGACAAATGTGGTCAAAAAATCACAACATTGTATCAAATAAATTTTCCCTTAAAAACCTGCATTTTTATATCTACTAGGAACAAATTGGAGAATATTTCCCAAATTTGTAACAGTAAGAAAATGTTACATAAAAAGTTGACTGGGATGTTTAGGAAGTATTGAATGCAACATAATTCTTCTCCCATGAAAATCATCTGGACATGTTGGACATAACTTTTGTAAGAGTTAAATAAATTCTAAGCAGGAAGGTAAATCCTTCACTGCTGTGCTCTGTTTATGTACTTACAGAATATAAAGTGGATCAAAACAATGAATATTTTACAAATAAAGTGATTCATAATTTATAGCTGCTGTCATTTTAGTTTACCAGCTTGAAAGATTAAGAGTCCTTTTAAAAAGGATCTCTCCTGCTTTTTAAAATCAAAACAATACAAACCAAAGGAATAAAAAACACATCTCAGACCTCTGCTTTAAAAATCTGAATACTCAGTTTTTCCAGATTTCATGTAAAAGGAAACTTTTTGATAGCTCCATTATTATATTGTACGATCTCCATAAGATCAGTGCCTACAAATATTAAATGTAATTTCTCCTGTGAAGAGTCTAAGAGTTAAGGCCACACTTTTTTTGCAGTGTAACACATCCAAGCCACTCAAGTAATTCCAAGGGAAACTTTGCAGTTGCAAAAAACATTTCTGTCTTCTTTCTCTTTTCACTTGCACAAAATTGAGTAGTTCCTCACAGTATCTTTTTATCTTTACATGCAAAGTCATATTTTTTTCCTACTGACCTAGAAAAGAAAAAATTAGATTTACTTATGCAGAGACAAAATGGTTATTTAAAGCATAGAGGAAAAAAAGAAGTCTGGAGAAATGCTTTGCTTCCTTGGTATTAATGATGTTTTACATATTTTTACCTCAAGTGCAGCAGTCATTCCACTCAAAGAATTAAGCAATGGATGTGATGGTTCAGATTTAGCAGCCACAGATGGCATTCCTTTCATATCTCCAGAAACTCAGAGAGAGAAATATGATTCAGGAGATGCTCACCGCACAACTTGAAGCACTGAAAAATTTAGTGTTAGGGGAAATTTTGTGAAGTCATTTTTGCAATAACCAGGCACAGTGGGTGAACTTATCCTCTCCCTCCTTTACCCCTCACTCCCTTTTCTCCCATTCAATCCCCCTGATTAATAGCTAAAAGTTAAACACATAAGGAAAAACTGTTGGGTTACATTCTTTTTCCTTCTGGCTTTGTTATAGAAAATGTATCAGTCACTCATGATTAAAACTTACAACTTTATTACACAGCATTACATAGGAAACATACAGTTCAGACTTACTCAATTCCAGCAACTAAAATTTAGAACTATACCTTGAAACAACACCATGCAGAAAATATTATTCTGTACTTTTTGAGTCATTCTGTTCAGGCCCACCAATTTAAATTTTTCATTTGATAACCAGAGCCAGAAAATTTGGTTTTGGTCTAGAGGGTCACCTGTTGGAAGCCTTCAAAAGAGCATTCAAGCTTGCTTAAATTAAATCTTAAGCTGTTAACCTCAAGTGTATCATTTTTGGGAAATCTTTGCTCCACAAACACACAATAAAGAGGACAAGGATGGTCACAGTGAAATTCTTTTGCTGACTGACAGGTAGGGATGTTGCTGCTGTACAGGAAAAAATCAGTCAACAGGATCCAGAGCAGAACAATATTCCACACAGAAAGAACCCATCAGCTGAGCTGGCTTTTCACAGCTTACACACAAATGTGTTATAAAAATATGCACCAGTAATAAAAAATGGTCTGAGTTTATGTTGACTTTTCTTGGTTATGCAGAGGAAAGAAAGCAGTCAAGGAAATTGGTGACATTTGCGTTATTTGGGAGGCCATGACTATGCCTTATTTTCCAAGTACAAAGAAAAGCTGTTCTGAATGGAATTCAAACAGGCTGATCTTATACCATTTTAGTCCTCAGTGATAATCTCCTGCTAATGCAAAATGACATTGTTTATGAAACCAGCATTATGGAAACAAACAAAATCAGAAACAGTCTGAACACTGGATCAAGTAGTCATCTCTTAAGATCTTGAGCTTGAGAAGCTCTTAAATGTTTTCAGCCACTGGAAAGACAATAACCTCTGCTACTAATTACTCCTTCAGACTTCAACTGAAACTTACTTTTCCTAAGTTATGCCTTCATTCCAGCCCATGCTGTAACACCATTTTGGGGTTCCATTGCCACAATCCTGATTCTACTGCCCTTTCAATGACAAAAAAAACCCAAAAAAACCAAAACCAAACCAAACAAAACAAAAATCCCCAAACAAACACAACAATCCTTAAAACCCTAAAAGATAGAGGCAAACAAAACAAAAAACCCCAAACAAACACAAAAATCCTTAAAACCCTAAAAGATAGAGGAAGAGAAGGAGAGAAGAAAAAGAAAAGGAAAGATTCAGGAGCAACCTTGATCCTGAGGTCAAAGCTGAAGAGGTTTTCTGAATTTTCCAACTCCTGCTGCACCACTGATGCCAACAAACATCAAGTTTTGAGTTCCTGATTTTAAAGAGCCACTTCAATCACAGCACACTGAAAGGATCTGATCAATATGACTTCCAATAAAAGTTAGCAGAACATTCTATGTTAAAACAGAATAAACCAGAAGGACCTGTTGCTATTGTTAATGGCTTCATCATATAAAGCCCCCTTGATCAACACTGAGTGAGGAAGAAAAAAAACCAAACCAGAAAAATATATTCATTCTATGGTCTGATTTTCTCTGCAGAACTCAGTAGGAGCTGCCTTGCGTGCCTCAAGCATTTGAGAACTTGTTTTTAATAAAAGTTTAGTTTAATTTATTTAGCTTTACTTTTGCTCAGTTGTAGTCCCTCTAAGCTCACATGTGACTGAAACTATAAACCAACAGCTTCCAACCATTTACAGCAACACAGGCTCTGTAACAAGCAAGAATATACACAGAGGATAAAGGATTCACTCATGTTTTAGCATTTCTAAGTGGAGCTGTAGGAGGTCCCGGATAAAGCATTTCTGAACAATAAAATATCCTCCCCTGAATTCAGCCCTTAACAGAAGAGCTCACTTTGTTTTTTAATAAATAACAGTATCCAACCCCAGAAAAGCATCCTCAGACCTGGCTACTCAATTTATTCAAGGGCAAAAGATCATTTAAAATCTACTTAAAAGAAAAGTCAAAGCAAGAACACTCTTACCCCTTCCCCCAAATGTTCACCTGCCATTTTCTGAGAAAAAGTCATGGCTATGGTTTGTTTGGTTCTCAGTAACTCCCCAGAACTTACTTGTTTGACATAAGTATTGCTGTAGGACTGATTAAAAAGGAGTAGGCACTGTCCCAAACAGGTTCAGAATACCTTAAATTTCTGTTCTACACATACACACACCCCACAGTAAACATCTCAGTTATTCTGCTTCCAACCATGTGATTTCCAGACATTACTGTTTAATTTTTACTTATGCTTTTAACAGAAGTCCCCTTGCCACAGCCAACACCCTTCAAGGCACACTGTGAAAAGACTGAATCAAATTTCAAAATGTAATTTTATAAAAAGCATCAAAATGTTAGCTGCTATCATCTTGGTTGATACTAAATTTAGTAAGTACAACATGCATTTCTCTACGATTTGAAAGACCATTTCTGTAAAAAATCCAAATCCCCAGTGTACTTTTATTCTTGGGAGCATTCACATAACCACAGTTTGCAGAAATTGAAAGTTTGGAGAAAATTGAGTTAAAATACATGAGTATTTATGAATGAACTTTAACTATTAATCTTCCAAGTGTATCTGCATTTAGTAATTATGCTACAGGAGCAATACAACATGTTTTTTACCAACCAATTAATCAACACAGCTCATTGGCAAAAGTCATATATCAAGACACAAAGTTCAGAAGACAAAAAGACAAGGAAAAAAATCACTTTTTTGACACAAACATTTTAGAAAACGATTGTAAACTGGAAGAAGGTCCAAGAGTGGTAGGAGAGGCTAGATTTGCTGCACAATATGTTACTAAAAATCAGCTTTTGACTCTTACCAAATATTTTTAGCAAATTACTTCATTAATACAGCTTGAACCAACCCCATTTCCACAGCAATTTTCCCACCTAAGTGATTGATATTTCTGCAGAGATCCAGAACCTGGAGAGAAGGAGCACAACCCAACCCAGGGAGCAGGGGGAGCCCCAGCCCAGAGCAGAGCCCCGGGCACGCAGGGCATCGTTACCTTGGCACGCAAAGCCTCTCTCCTCGTAGCCAGCGTTGCACAAGCACTTCCCGATGGGCACCAGCCACTCTCCCTCCGTGCTGCAGTACATCTTGGGGGGCTCCTCCTCCTTGGAGTGGTTGACACAGGAGCCCCTCACCTCCACCAGCGACTGGGAGTCCATGGGCACCGTGTCTGGGAACATGGCCAGGTTCTTGACGGTGAAAGGGCACTTCTTGAAGTACACCCGCACCGACACTAAGGCAACGCAGGCGCCCACGTCCTGGAAGGCCAGGTAGAAGCCCTTCCTGCTGATGGGCCCCACCTCACGGATTTCCGTGTTCAGCTTGAGGATTCGGTCGCCGAGGTCCATCTGGGTGAAGCTCTCGTCGGCCGCGATGGTGTCGATCTTTGTAAACTGGTGCTCCTTGAACTTGACCAAGTGGTCATCGTCAGACTCCATGTAGTAGAGGTTGAAGGTCTCTTTGCAGGTGCCCAGCACCAGGGGGATGCTGTTGCAGTCCCTCAGGGTGAACTTGAGCTCCACGTAGATCTTCTGGGCCGAGTTGCGCGGGATCCAGTTCGTCCGCAGCCAGTTGTTCTGGCTGTGATCCATGACATTGCACACTTGGTAAGTTCTGATCGGGGTGTAATGCTCGTCAACACCGCTGATCTCTTCCCACTGGATTAAAAAAATAAAAAAATAAAATCAATAAAATGTTTTTAGATTAATTATTATACCAACAAAAATAAGATTTAGACCAAAAGCTGTGAAAAAGCAAAAACAATTTTTCTTGGTCATCACTATAAAATAAACAATAAGGTTTGGTTGAACCAAAACTAAAAACATCTTAAATGATCATAGAATTCCCCATTAATAAGTCAGTTTTTACCAACTTACTTCAAGGTGGATGAAAGAGATGCTACAGCTGTTTTGCATTACTAAAAACCGGTGACTTCCTAAACAATAAGCAGTGCTGTCCTTTCACCCACAATTCCACACCTTTACAACAACTACACTCACCTCAGATGGAAGAAATCCTCAAGGACAACACACATTTGCACTGCTAGAACCAGCTTTATTTCTAAGATTAAACAAAAGCCAACGGCTCCAACTGAAATGCCATACAGTCTCAATAAAATGTTACATGTTTACATTTATTCAAAGCATGACAATTGATTTTCCTTGGGATAAATGTACTCTGGACAAACAAACTCTGGAAACTGGGGTTGAAATGGATTAAGAAATACTACCAATTTACCATATCTTGATTAGTTGGTTCTTCTGTGGACTACCTAGGTTGCGACACTGGAATGGTTTGGGAAAAACACAGGGTCATGGTTTGTTTTCACAGCCGTCATCAGCTGACAAACTCTCTTGACCCAAAACATGAAGGAAGGGGCTTCCTACTTGAGAATTACCCATGCACCAGTTCTTACCTGGTGTCCAAAGTCATAGCAAAGAGGGATATTTACCCCATCACAGGGAAAAAATAAGAAAAACGCACAACAAAAACTGGAGAATCAAGAAGTCACTGCCACTCCTGAGGAAGGGAGACAAAGAAGAATTTCTACCAGAAAAACATTTTCCCTCAAAAACCAAGTAATATAAATTTCCTATTGAAGATCTCAGTCTAATAATTACTGGTTTTACATAAGCACCTTTTGTTACAGAACTTTAGTGTAGTGCAGACAGTAGGAGAGGAAAGAACTATTCCCACTACAGAGACAAAAATCATGGTGCAGAAGTGCTTACAGTTTCTTGGGTTTACAATGCATGTACATCACACACATATACGAAGAAAGAAAAAAAAACTATGGACATATCTTAGAGTAGCATCTGAGAGTTCTCAGTCTCAACCCACTAATTTAAGGAAGTTTTGATCTGACTAAGAGCTGGTCTGCACAATGAAATTGTCCACACAGCACTGAAGATGTGATTTTAAACCACGTCATTAAACCAGCAGATAAAAGCAGTGTAAATACTCTTTCCTTTAATTGAAACCAAGTTTACTGCAATTCACTTTACAGACCTGACTATACACAAGTTTTATCTCTTCCTGACTAGCTCAACAGAGTTTAAAACACAACCTTGGATGTGTCTACAGCAGCTGATATGCTGCAGCATGCCATAACAGAATCTATTTCCAAAAAGAGCCAACAGTGCAGGGACTTTTAAAATCAGAATTACCACACTGGAGTCCATGGCCACTTGAGAGCTTGGCACCAGCCACACAAGGATGAGCTGCTGCCTGCAGAAGAGGCAGCTGGACCCTGGCTCCCAGCCTCTGCCAGCTTCCCAAACTGAGTGAAGGACCCTCCTCTGACAGATGTCCTTGCACAAGCACAGGCCCTGAGCCAACCCTGCCTCAAAGAGCCATAATTGCCTCCAGTGAAGCGGGATGCCCTGATTTATCTGCAGCTCTTACCTGGACAAATAAATACTGAGTAACAACACCTGGATGAAACTAGATAGGATTATATAATGAAACCAAATTTTAGAGACATTTTAAGCAGCTTGTACTGATTCAGAAGTCATTCAGTGGTTATAATTTCCATATAATTTCTAATCAGTTCTATTTTAAATGTCCAGTGGGAGATTGAGACAAAACCAGGAACTGGCACAGTTTAAAACATCTCCACAGCAAGATGTTAGTTTTCTGAACAAGTCTTATGATATTTTTTTTTGTGCCAGAAGTTTCTTATCCAACAGACTTTTTAATGTAAATATAGGACTTGCACAACAAAGGCAGCATCACTACTACGTTCTTCATGCAGAAGTTTCAATTAATAACTTAATGCAATTATAATTTCAGTAATTTTCAATGAAGATCAAATTGCCTGGAAGTCTGTGTTAATCCACTTACTTGAACAACAAAATTTTAGATCTATCATTTAATGCTGAAGCATTGCTGAAGGGAAATGCCACTGTCTCAGTGCTAATTTGACTAAAATACTTTAACAGTTATAAAATTGTGGAGATTTAAGCTATTTCATTAGAAAAAGATTAAATAAGTCACCAAAACTACAGGAAGAGCATTCAAATCCCAACATGTACCACATTTGAGTACATTTGGGAATTCAGTAATTATCATGATCAAAGTAAAAAGCAAGCAGAACATTTGCATTGCTCATACATTTAAGTCTTCCCAGTAAGCCTCTGTATTGCCATTTAAAAGGATCTTAATGGTAAACAGATAATCAAAAACATTGAGGCTTTTCCATTAAGTAAGGTTTCTCAAACACTTGTTTTCGTAACTTGGTTTAATTTTTATTTTGGTGCTTGCAATTCACGTGTTCAACTTGTTCTACAAAGTTATAATAGTTACAAAACTTCTTTTCAAAAACTTTAAAAATAATAAATAGAGAGAAATTCTTATTCTAGGGATGAAATTAAGCAGGGAAAATAATAAAACAGATGGAGAGGGAAGAGAAAATCCAACAAAAGACTTGTGGGTTGAGATAAGGAGAGGGAGAGATCACTCACCTGTTACTGCCATGGACAAAACAAACCCAACCTAGGGATATTGGCCTAATTTATTATCAACCAAATGACACTAAAGTGACAAATAAAAACTAAATCTTGAGCAGCTCTGGTCCATGAAGCATTACACTGCAGAGTTGTCCCAGCTGGAGTTTTTTTCAATGCTATACAAAACTAATGGATATTTATCAGTCTTGGCTATTGTTAGAGAGGAAATTAATAGGCAAGTCCTAAATTCTGGAATGATGAAATGACAGGATTGTCCTCCTCCAAGTCCAATAGGAATGATAAATTCAAAAATTTTTAGGAAGTTGTTTATAAAAAAGTGTCAGGGCTCTATGAGAGGATGATGTGAGCCACAATTTCTGAATTCATACTATTATACACTATTTCTGTCATATTCCCCTGATGTCTTCAGGCACTTTCAATAATTTTGAAGCATTTCCAGAAGTGCCATAGCACCACTCCCTTCCCAGCATGTAATCTGGCTTTTGGAAAATGTTCTTTTGTTTGCTTTTCACTTTTTAAAATCTTCTTTGGATATTGTTAATGACAGGAAACAAGAGATTGCTTTCAGTGGTGGAGAAAAACCTCCAGATCCCTAGTGAGAGGGTCTAACTCATGTCCCTGAGTGACAAAGTTGGGCCAAAAACGATTTTCTTCTCCAAGATCTGAAGAAGAAAATTTTCTTCACTGTGCTGGACTTATGGCTTTGGTTTATTTCTTGCAATTTCTTTAGAAAAGGAAATGTACAGAAGTGAATGTAGGACGTTTCCAGGATGTCATGAGCAGTCTAATGAAAAGCTCCCTCTCAATGTGGGAATCTAGGACATGAGTGTGCTCAATTCTCTCATCCTGCCTGTGACATCACTTTTTGTGTCTTTTTATCCATCATAATTTTTAAAGAAGTCTGAATTACAATAAGAAACAGAGGGATATTTTGTGATTTACAATACAAGATATATGCAACTGTGTGATTGCAAAAAAAATCCCATTTTTTTCAGTCAGCATCACATTGCTATAAAACTGTTAAACTACAAAGTACAAAATTCCAGCTTGAGATGAGCATTAGAATAATTCAAGTCTAAGTAAAAAAAAAAAAAAGAACCTCCCCACATGCTGTTTAAAAGCTTAACAAAACAGTAGCAGGATGCAAGAGCTCTGAAAGGTTGCTATTAACAAAATCCCTGTGATGACCATATTATAGGAGAATGCATTCCAGGGCAGCTCATCAGTATGGAAACTTTCCTCATAATATCACCAAAGATGCTGATTCAAGGCCCATAAATACCAACCAGCTGAGATCAGAGGACAGAGAATGATCTGATTTGGGATTTTAAGAAACTTTAAAAGTACCATGGAAATTTTTTTTCTGCATTTGACATTCAAAAATCAAATTACCTCAGGCCACTGGCTCTAGCCAGAGTTTTTTAGGTTTTTTCTAAGTTTTTTTTTTTTTCCCTAAGTTGTAAATGAAAGAATAAGTTGCATTGCAAGAGTTTTCTGATTAAGTTATACACACAGTGAAATTATCATTTCCATCACATAAATCTTCATAAGAAACAGACTCTGGTACACTCATAGCTTCAACCTAAAACCTGGGTTTCTTCATAGCTAAGCAAAAGAGTTTCAGAATTACAACCAAGACAAAATATTAATATCTTGTCTGTTGAGTGTTCAGGTGAGATGAGAAACTCATTTAGAGTATCCAGATACTAAACTTGCCCAAGAAGAACTGAGCTCCAGCATTTTACCATACAACTATCCCCAGATTTATCCCAAATAATCCAAACCAGTCAGATCTGTGATCCATGCAGTTATGCTGCTGATTTTAAAGAACTGAGAAATAAAACAAATATTTTAATAAATAACAGTCTTACAGAAGCTAAGCACACATAAACAATATTGAGGAAGCAAGAGAGCACACCTTATCATGGGAATACTCAACCAATAATCAAACCAAATTGCAGAAAGATGAGGAAAACCATCTTTTCCCTCCCATGTCTAACTGGCAGAGAGATGAGTACTTCATCATCATATCTGTAAGGACAGCTGATTCTCACCCTTCAGCAAGAAAAAGCCTCTTAATCACAGTGAGGTAAAAAGGTCACCACAAGCAGGAAAACATTTGACTTCCTAACAGACATCTGAATCCAGCATTCAAACACCCCTCCACAGCTTGGACAAGAAAAGCATTT